GTATATATATCACCCTATTTTTGGGTCTCGTGTCTGAAACATTAGTTATTCTTCATATAGCCTGCTTGTCACTAGTACTTCTATGGAGTACTGACCCCTCCGGGGGCCCTCACATTTTTCAGGTTGAGGCTAGAGTCCTACTACTGCACCTTTGCCTAGGGTGATTGATCGAGAAGGAAAACGTGGTTCGTGCTTCCATTCTTATTTCAAATGTATAAACTGCTCATGGATTTTTGAACAATATTTTCATTAAAACAGTTGGGGGCCTGCGTGCCCGTGTTTGCCACGTGTGGCTAAGTATCAAACATTTTATTATTCCGCATTTGTTTGATTATGATATTGATGTTGATTGTATGTGTTTACTAATCGGTTTGACAATAGAATCAATCGGACGCCTTGTACAATCCAATAGGGATGAACTTTTGTTGTTCCTATCGGGTTGTACGGCGGTTGTCTACGTGGCTCGGATGCGGTCCGGGGCGTGACAGCGGTTTTTTATTGAAATTGCAGTTTTTTGTTTGAAATGTCTTTGTCACTGCAGTGGAGAAAAAGTTCTGGCTTTAGCTTGTAGAGTTCAAGAATGCCAGGCTTGCAATGTTTGCCTTGTTGGGATTTTTTGTTCAAGATGCTGACATGGTATGTTGTATGCATTGACCTTTGTAAGCTGATAAATCACTTCGTTTATTAGGTTTTGGAAATTATTATTACTATTCTCTTAGGTACTTTCTTGCATTGTTCATCTATGGGGTGCACTGATGAAATTGGAGAGAGCAGCTGCGTTGCATCAGTGTGTTGCTTGAGTTGATCAAAACTAAAGTTAACTATGTTGTTCAAGAAGCCATTATAGTAATCAAAGACATCTTCAGAAGATATCCTAATACGTGTGTTTCAGCACCATATTTTCCTAGATTTCATATAATAATTATCATATATCCTTGAATAATTATTGAGTACTAACTTACTAAGGCCATCTGTGTCTTCTCTCGTTTAGATATGAGTCCATAATTGCTACACTTTTTGAGAGTTTGGACAGTTTGGATGTGCCTGAAGCAAAGGTACTGTTCAGCTGTGTTAACATTTCTTCCTTTTGGGATGTCTACTCACTCAAAATACTGTTAATTTTTTCAGCTATCTTCATTATTAGTGACAGGCATCAATGATCTGGATTTTTGGTGAATATTAGTAGGTTTCCATCTACTATATTCTAATATTTGATTACAATTTTCTCTTTAAAAATCATCTTGTTCCTTTGCTCGATATTTTCTACAATTTATGCCCTTTAGAAGGTTGTAGCTTATGAATACAATGCATTAGGAATGAGTTTTATATATTGATGTGCTTGAATGTTTATTTAATTTCTCATTCTTGTTGGAGCAGAGATCATTTGCAATTTGTAAGGTTAATCAAGGTGGTATTAAGTCCATTTATTTCAAGTCACCTAAGTTTCATGGGCAACCTCTAAATCTTCTTAGTACTTTTCTAATGCTTATATGTTTTTCTTCTCCATTTGATGATCATAGGAAATGTAAAGCTATCTTCTGTTCAAGTAATTCAATGTCTATGAAATTGACACCATATGGATTCTCTTCTAGGGTTGATATAATTAGCAATTCTTTTGATATAGATAGCAATTGTTTCTCCTGATGCATAATTATTTACTATGGTTTCTCATGGTTTTTTATTTATGCTATTCAGCCTAGGTGAGCGAATGGTACCAAGATTTGAACTTGCCTATAATATATTATGGATCCTCTTGTCTCACTCTCTTCTCCTACTAGATTATTAATTACGTGAATGTGAAATTTACGTTTTCATTATTAATTGTTTGTGTACTCATAATATTTAGGTGTCTCTTAATCCCAATTGAGCAAGCATACTGATGGTGAATCTAGATGCACCTAAAGCCAGAGGCCCAAAGATTCGAGATGTTGGTGCTGCTACTATTTTGAATTACATATGTCATTCAAGTTAGTAAGATGAGGCATGATGGTATCATGTTGAGTTGTAGTTACGTTGTAGAAAATAAGATTGTACAATTCTATTGTATATTTTGTTGGTATTAAGAAAATAGATTACACGGTTCCCTTGTGTATTTGATTGATATTAATGTGTTTGAATACTCTTATAGCAATTTGATTTGTTAATAAAAATAGTTCTCTTTAATTTGTCAGCTAATTATTTTTTCAATTATATAAAGGTATCATTATTATATTAAGTTATATGATGTGAAATCTCACCAAAAGTTATAAAATGTAACGATATTATATTAAGTAAGTTATACAATGTGAATCGTCACCAAAAGTTTTGTTTTGTTCACAATTTAAGATTTTGTCATTAAAGGTTCTATGGTTACCACCCAACTGCTGAGACCACTGCTCTCATTAAAGGTTGATTATCAATCTACTCTGTTATATCATCAGAAAGCTCTTCCCACTGTAAGAAAAATTCTGAGTGCACTGTCATCATACACTGAGTATTTCACTAGCAGTTGCCTCAGCAATTCCCTGCTTTCTAACCAACTGCCAAGCCAACAGCTCACCTCACAAAGCCCAAACTTCATCCATCATAGAAAGTGTTATACACCATTTATCTAAGAGGTTAAAGACTTCCGCCGTGCATCTATAAATCTCCCAAAAGATTATAGATCAACTCTTTAGAGGGAGAAACGTTTTACAGTTGAAAAAGCTTTAAAAGTCTATTCACCCCCCCATCCCTCTAGACTTTTACCTCTATCAGGGACCATCACCAAGTGATGATTCTTGATGAATAATAGACTTATTTTGAGCTTGAATCAGTCTAGGTAGGGTTTGGAAATGAATTTGTAGAGAGGGGGTCGAGCTGGGCTTCGTTTTGGGGAAAAAGGGATTTTCCCGTTTCAATACGCCGTACACCGACCTGAGCAAAAATCACCCCGACCGGCGCCGGTTTTCCCCTGACCAGCGCCGGTTGTGCTGTATTTTTGACGCCCCAAAGCTTATGTTTTGGACCGGCGCCGGTTTGAGGCCAATCGGGTGCCGAAAACGTAATTTTTTCGCCCTAAACCGACCCTGATTGTTATCGTTCACATCATAGACCCCCGATGACTTTTTAAACTATATTTTAAACATTCGAATACTATCTAACATGAAAAATAACTTGATATACCATTACATTCAAAAATACGAATGATTATTACGGTGTAGTTTTATTGCTCATCGGATAATACAAGCATGTAAGTTCAAATATCATTATCACAAAGTTCATACTCACATGCTATCCCTACACTTCACACATATAGCACCCAAACATAAGTTAAAATATGATCATATATAACATTAATTAATGCATAAGAAGTACAAAAAGTACGGGCGTTACAGAATGTTAACCACACAAAACTTTCCAAAAAGGGAAATGGGAACAATTTTTTGGGACGGCCCAAAAAAGAAAGTGAGATTTATTTTATGGGACGGAGGAAGTAATAGAGAAAAATAAGTATTAACGATAATTTACTTTTCAGTTTTCATAGGTGGTAAAAGGAAAGGTAAATTACTAAATTTAATTTTGAGAGAGCAAAGTAAAAAGTGAAAATTTAATGGGGATTGAGTAAGAATACGTATAAGTATAACAACTAAAGATGTAAAAATAAATAAATTTGGAGTTTGAGTTTTTAGTGGTTAATTGAGAACTATTTTTTAAAAACAACAATTGAAACATGTAAAAAACATTTTAACCATGAGATCTTAATTTTAACATTTGAAACTATTCAAGAAAAAAATTAGGTCTAAAAATCTCAAATAGTTGAAACTTCATTTTTTTAACTTTATATATCCAATATTGGTATCATATGAAAGATCATAAAAAGCTGTGAATTTTAATAAACTTTTTTATTAAAATTAAAATACAAATAAAAAAGTTATACTACTTTAAATAAAATTGAGATTATAATTGTGCATGGGAGCATGCTTTCCTAAAAGGTTGAGATAGTAAAACGAAAGGTAAATTTAGTAATTCCTAAATTTAATCTTGAGAAAGCAAAGTAAAAAGTGAAAATTTAATGGGGAAGGGATTGAGTAAGAATATGTAAAAAAAAAAAAGGATGACACCCCATCCCTGAGGGCCCCCCAACCCCGACCGGACAGTACGTTGGGAGGATGTAAGTTGGACTATAATCCCAATCTGACAGATAGAGAGTGGGGCTCTGTCCCCGGTACTTACAGAGGCCCTATGCATTTTTTAGCATAGTAACCCCTCATCGCAGTTGCCGGGATTCGAACCCGGGACCTAACCCTTGTGACACTCCCTTCCTACCAGTTGAGCTACGCCCACCGGTGAGTAAGAATATGTATAACAGTTAAAGAAGAGGTATGGGATATATTTATATGTAGTATAGTGTGACATGGTGTGAAGCATTGCACATCTGATCTATTGTTCAGAAGTTTCTCATTATGGTATATCATGTCATGCACTCTTAAAATTCGTTTGACCCAAAAAGGATCGGAATTATTTAACTTGAAGTCTTGAAATAAGCAATGCACGTTCTACATTTAATTTTCTTGAGCTCGAAAAGAACTGAGCTATAAACTAGGACTTGAATCCTTGAATTACCGTACAACAATTACTTTATATATCGATATACGTACACTTGCAACTTTAATTCATCAGATAACGTTTTCAGCCTAAATGTAAAGTGATCATAACTTTTATTTGATAACATGTCCCGTCAAAAATAAAGCATGTAGTATACGGGTGGGCGTAGCTCAACTGGTAGGAAGGGAGTGCCACAAGGGTTAGGTCCCGGGTTCGAATCCCGGCAACTGCGATGAGAGGTTACTATGCTAAAAAATACATAGGGCCTCTGCAAATACCGGGGACAGACTAAAAACACGAACTTTTAACCAATAAATCATCTTATAGACCCCGTCGAAAATAATTACGAAAATGGTACCGCAAAAAAATAAATCTGGAAACCTTAAAAAACCATCCCAGATACCCATGCATGCATGCCGTATAATTGCGTATAGTAGACATCTTCGAGATGTGTATAAATTCAAACCTCCGACCTTTCACGCAGATCACCAGCAGCTGCTAACGTAACCAAAACTCCACCTTTAATTTCTGCCTTTGCTTCTATCACTTCTAACGTTACGTTTCTTCACTTCACTTTTTCAAATCGTTCAATCTTTTTCTCGAAAGGTACGTAACATCTTTAGTTTTGTTTTTCTTTTTAATGTTTTCTCGATCATCTTTTACATCTTTCCACCAAGTTCTTCTCCATTTCAAATTTTTTCCTTTTTACCCTTGCAGCTTAAATGGAGATATCAACCACGATGCTCTACTGCTTCCTTCTTTGTGCTGCTTTGCTTGTTGGCCCATCTAAGGCCGACAAAAATGTCACCACCATTCTACTTAACAGCGCTGTGGCCGAGGGGGCTGGTAAACTACGTACTTAATTATATATGTTAATCTTTTGCTGTTCGCAGATTATGTGCATATATAATTAGAAGCTTTAAACTCTTCAATTCGATGTGTTTAAATTGTAGTCTGTTTGGACGGAAGCCCACCAGCGTACAACTGGGATGCAGGAAAAGGTTCTGCTACCCGCAACTGGTTGGTTCACCTCGGGGTCAGTTTTTTTTTTTAATTTGAACCAATAATATATACTTCGTGTCTTCGTATATACTCCGGCCGTATATAAGTCAAAAGAAGTCAACGTGCATCATTTAAATATTTTGTGACATATACTATAAAGTCAACGTCAACGTCATTTGGTTTTGGTTCAATTAAGTGAACGTACGTCATTTAATTAAATACAGTTCAAGCTTATATACATCTCATTATTATTAGCTTGAATTGAGATATTTTCCCCTGGCGGCCATAGGGAGGAGGGTGGTGTATAAATAGCACCATCTACGACAACAGGGATTACGCATATGCCGGGAACTGCACTGCCCGTGCCCGAAGTGGCGATGGATCTTCTTTCCATATGGGTGATTCTTTTCTGTTCAAGGGGATTTTCAGCGATAAAAAGAACGAGTCTTACTTCTACGATTGGAACCGTGTAGTAGTAAGATACTGTGACGGCGGGTCATTCTCTGGAGATGTGGATCAACCCGACCCGGTATGTATACGTATATCTTAAATAACACGTATAGTAGTATGTACTCCGTTGTAAGATGCGACCATTTAAATTTGATGTATAACCATATGTTTCATCTTTTATTTGGCAACCAAGCTTTTCTATAGGGGGGCAAGAATCTATAGAGCGGTGGTGAAGGAGTTGATGAGCAAGGGCATGAAAGATGCTGAAAATGTAATATTTCTAAACATCGGGTCCTCTATTATTAATTAAATGATAAGTGAATTTATGATTATTTTCACATGCTCCATACGTTTATGGCCGTAAAATATAATTAACAGGTGATTCTTGCGGGAGGTTCTGCCGGGGGAATAGGCGCAATGATTCATTGTGATCATTTCCGAAGCCTCTTTCACCTGAGTGTGAATGTCAAGTGTTACATTGATAGCTCACTCTTCCTGAAATTGTAAGCCAATGTAGTCACATCGTAATTTTTTGTATTTATAATTTAGAAACAATATTTATTAGTTAGTTAATTTAATTATGTTTGTTAATTCATATATTGGCAGGAACAACCCCAAGGATGCCAAGTTCTTCAAAACAGTTTTTGGCATGGTTGTTAAATTGCAGGTAATTAATAAATTAATGGAGTTGTTAATATGCACTCAAATCGGTATTTCTATGCATAAAGAGTTCTAATGGAGTAGAAAAGTTTTGAAATTCCAAAATAGGAGTATCATGTTTTTTATTCCTTAAATAGGAGTAAGTTTCTGCCAGGTTTGACATTAGTAGGCTTTAAAACATGACATTTTCTTCCAAACTTGCCAGATTACTCATATTTAGGGAATAAAAAACACATGATACTCTTATTTTGGAATTTCAAAACGTTTTTGCTCCTATTTAGAGTAATTTCTATATATATTACTAAATCGGTAATTGTTAATTCATGCCATTTTTTTATTTAAAAAAAATATAACTAAATTGTAAAATATTATATGCATTGCAGGAAAGTGTCAAGTCACTTCCCCAAGAATGTATATCGGAAAGAAGTGCAACATCGGTACGTACATCATATATACTCCGTAAAATTTATTTATAACTTTTATATACTTAAATCCCTCGAATACATATAAGTGATGAAATATATTAACGCTATATGCATGTGCAGTGCTTCTTTCCTAAAATCTTGGTGAAGTACATCAAAAGTCCAATTTTCTTTTTGAATTCTGCCTTTGACTCATATCAGGTTACCTAACTCCTTGCACCCTATCCTATTGTTTTTATATTTATTACTACGTATTACTATTGCTTGATGGGTTAAATTTTTTACTACTGTAAGACTAATACTGTAAAATTTTGATTTTTATTTCAAAAAGATAAGGAATTCCTTTTCTGAAGATTTATACAATCGTATAAAATATCATACGGTGAGTCCAAGTGATATGAAGATATTAAAAGGTAAGTTTTTATTTTCAATTTATCTACTCTTTAAAAAATTACTACAATTTTTTTCTCTGTTACAATATAAATGTACGTGTTCTTTTTACGCACAGCACAGTCGATTAGTAGCAGATTATTACTATTTGCAGTCAATGTTATGCATCGAAATTAGTCGAATTCTATCATAATTTTGAACACTGCACTTTCTCCATAATTTTAGTTTAAGGTAATTTACAAAAGCTGAAAATGTTAGAATGCACTTTAAGAATTGAATGGAAAAATAACAAGCCACTAAGAATATAACGTATGCATTGCACTTACCATACATTTAACACTCGTGATATGTTGTTGAAATTGGCATCCTACACAATTTATACGGAGTATTAGTAAAGAAGAATATAATTGTACTTTTACTTCCATAACATTCGGCTATATGATATATTAGTAAAGAAGAATATAATTGTACTTTTACAATTGTGTAATTTATCTATTTCACAAGACCTAGTTACATTAATTAGCACAAAAGCCCTCGTACAGAATGGAACGAGCTTGTAACTACTTTCTTTTTCATACTTTGTCATTATTTACGTTTCTTAATATATTCTCTTTTCTACGTTTTCATTTATCTTACACCTCTATACTACTCCTACCATTTTCTTCATAAAATCCACAAAAGATCTAAGGAGACTATTATTTAAAAACGGTGAGAGTATTAATATAGTGTTTTACACTTTAGGGCCTCATATTCAATTTTGCACAGGGCCTTTTATATGTCTGAGCCGGCTCTGGCTATATCTTTACTAGTCCTATACATTTATTGAGTTGCATATTTAGTCTTGTAACAAATAAATATTTGCAATTTAGGGATTTTTTTATAAAAAATATACTCTTAGCTTCGACTGTAAATTAGCCGTGAAAGATTCTGTAAACGTCGAACTATATATGCTTTCAAGGGGAAAAGTCCTTAAATTGCTCACATTTATAAGTTAAAGGACCAAATGTGCAACCAAGTAAAGTTACGTGATTAATAACGGGATAGTCAAAAGTTACAGAATTAAAATTACAATTATCTCAAAATAATAAGCTCGTGTGTAATAAACATATAGATTATATAATACTATCCCATATATCGTTAAAATGTTCAACGATATACTACTATAAAATATGGAGTAATAAACATATAAATTATATAATAGGTAGTATTATGATCTTTTCTAGTATATACGATCCCAATCTTAATTAGTATATATGCGCGAAAACGCAATTTATAAGCATATGCTTTTTAATAACGAGTAATATGTTTGTTTAGGGTTTAGGCGTCAAATAATAAAGGCACTGCCTACGCCAAGGGCCACAAATGGGTATTTGGTCACTTCCCAGTTTGGTCATACCTTCGGCTTGGGCGGTTATTTGAAGAAGCCCATGTTTCCTGAAAAGAAAACTTCAAAGGTATTCCCTCACTTTTTGTTATCTATTAATACGTTTTATATATAATCCATTTTTATCACGGTATATTTTTACTTTTTGACTATTTTTGAAGTATAATTAGCAGCTCAACCATTCCCCAAAATTGAGACATACGATATATATATATATATATATATATATATATATATATATATATATATATATATATATATATATATATATATATATATATATATATATATATATATATATATATATATATATATATATATATATATATATATATATATATATATATATAATACCATAGTTATTAAGAGAAAGTAAACTATATGTCCCTATAACTGAAACTTCTTTTTTAGCACTTTGGATCTATTTAAGAAACGTTTTGGATTGGAAAACATACTATAATTGAAACTTGGTTTTTTAAACTTTGTATACACAATATTGATATCATACGAAAGACTTTTTTTTCAAGCAATCATATGAAAGATTGTTAAAAATTATGTAGTATGAATTTTGATATGTTTTTTGTAAAAATTGGAATACATATATATAGCATTATAGCTAAGTAACAACACATTTAAAAATAAAATTTTAATTTTTGCCTCACCAAGTTGCTCCCAAGCTCCCTTAACCAAATGCATTAGGATAATGGGTTTCCACATACTCCCAAATAGTACGTAGTAACTTTTCTCTAAACCCCATTTCATTCGAGACAAGGGTTTGCAAATGTCGGAATAAGGCTTTTCTAAAATGCGTTTTTAAAATTTCCTCTAATAATAATAGTGCTTGGCACGAATAAAAATCTATAAAAATTAGGAAAAACAATAAGAATAATTCCAACTATTACTCCACTGCTCTAAATAATCTAATTTAATGTATCAATTATCTCAAAGTAATCCCAACTATTAAATAAAATTCTCAAAATGTTCCAGTAACTTACATTAATCCGTAAATATTATAAGTCATTTATGGGTTATTACAAGTGAGTGGATCATTTCAAGAATTTTATTGAATAGTTGAGATTATTTTGAGATAATTGATACTTTGGATTATTTAAAGCAGGTCGCTAATAGTTGAGATTCTTTTTGTCCATTTTTACTAAAAATTAATACTATTAGTATAATTATACAAAAGAATAATAACGTATTTTTATTGTTCTTTTCTACCTATCAGACAATAGAAGAGGCATTCGTCAATTGGTTCTTTGATGAAGGAAGGGTCCATTTGATTGATCCAAGGGATGAGCCATTCTGGGAGAATAATGTTACATCAAATATCCGTTAGCAGCTATTTTGGTGGATATATTATATTTCTCTCTGTATTTGTTTTTTTAGAAATTGTCCTAAATAAGAATAAAAACGTTTTGAAATTTCAAAATAGGACTTTCATATTTTATTCCTTAAATAGGAGTAATTCTGCCAAGTTTGGAAAAAATGTCATGTTTAAAGCCTAGTAATGTCAAACTTGGCAGAAATTTACTCGTATTCAGGGTATAAAAAACATGATAGTCCTATTTTGTAATTTCAAAACTTTTTTACTCCTATTTAGAGAATTCTCTCTTGTTCTTTCGAACGATTTCTCTCTGTATTTGTTAAATAGCTAGAACGTGCCCTGCTTCTATATAATGGTAATTATTAAACTTCATATAATATGTTTGTTAATTTCTTTGATCTTGTTCTGATCTGCCGGTATATATTTGGATATTTCTCTATAACTATTGTTTCAATGATTTTGCAACACGATGTACCAAATACTGGTATTAAAATCCATAGAATATGTTTGCTAACTCTTGTGTGTAAAATGTCCAGATTTAAACAGTCGAATACTCTTAGAATAATTGAACAATTTAAACAGTAAAAGAGAAATTTCACCAATAACGTGGACCGTCAATATATGATGAATTCATGAAGAACAATTACACAATATTTGAACGAATAAGCTTGAGAGAGAATTTCTATTTTACTGGCTCTACAGAGAATGATATGCGGAAATAGAATGTGTAGAGATTTAGCAGTTTTCGGTCATCTCAACCTATATTTATAGGAGAGATGTTCGAACTGCCTAATACAATTAGGAATGCAGCTTATGAGGCGTGTGGGCTTATTAGAGCTAGATTAAATGGGCCTAATTCTCTCTCAGCTAAACTAATTAAATACAAAGACTCATTAATTAAATTACAATTAATTTGAACACAATAAAATAATATTCTAACATTTTCCCCCTTTGTGTTCAAATGTCAATGAAGCGCGGATTATCTATGAGTCTTGTATAATGACTTCTGATAGCCTAGGATGACTTCATAATGTCTGAGGGTACTTCTGAAATCAAGTCTAACTCCTACGACTTCGTGAAAATCTGCAATAAGAGCATTCTGCAGGGCCGGTCCCGAGAAAACGGAGGCCCTGTGCAACAATAAAATTTGGGCCTTTTTTCAAGTTGCAACACAAGCAAATTGTCTTAAAATACAAGTTACTAATAAACGTAATGATTAAAATGAAAAAAGTCATTATTAACTTACAGTTTATATGGAAACATTATTACCAATTATTGAAATTCTCCTCTAATCATGTACATGTTTATAAATTTTAAATTAATATTCAGTTTAAAATTAGGGTGAAAACATGAATGATTATACTAGTGTACGTATAATTATAATTTAGAGGAAATTAAATAAAATACCCCAAACTTTGATGGGGTGTGAGATAAGCACCCCAAACTTGCATATGTAATTTAAATACCCCAAACTTTACAAAAAAAATATTTTAGCACCATGGTCATGTACTATTTCTTTCAAAAATATTAACTTTTGGTGTTTATTTCATAATTTGATAATTTTTAGCATTCATAAAAATACTATTAACATTCTAAGCTTCCATTGTAAAATAAATAGTATTACCCACCACTATATATAATTCTAATGTTTTCAATTTGCTATTTTAAATTATGCAATTAACACCATAAATTTACATTTTTGAAAGAAATAATACATAACCATGTTAAAATAACTTTTTATATAAAGTTTGGGGTATTTAACTTACATATGAAAGTTCGGGTGTTTATCTCACACCCCTTCAAAGTTTGGGGTATTTTAATTATTTTCCCCTATAATTTATCAACCTCAAGTTACCTAATAATATATTTATACTACTTTCTTAAATTTTAACTGCTAAACACATTTACAAAATTATACATTGTATTATCAATTCAAATAATGATTTACTTTAACTGCAAAAAATCAACAAATAACGACAATACAACAATTCAACAAACATTAAATCTGAAAATAAACAAATTACAAGAATTAAACAAACAATTCATCAATTCAATAAATCAAAAGTTCACAAGAATTAGCAAATTAGCAACTAAATGAATAAAAGAAACTGGATGCTGTGGACTGACCGGAATTCCACTGGACGACTGGACTGAGGGAGGCCCAGAGGTGGCCAGGCGGGAGCAACCGAGCAGGGAGCTTGAGGGTCTGAGGGAGTGAGGGAGGCGGGCGGCTGGTTGACTGCATGCGGCGGCGTGCAGGTGTGCGGTGTGCAGTGTGCGGTTCGACTGGAGACGCGGAGGCGGCGGAGCTGCGGAGGTCTGAATCGGCAGAATCGACTTGGCCCTTGGGCGTGGGTTGTTGCGCAGGGGAATAGCGGAGGCCTGAGGGGTGTTGTCGTGGAGCAGCGGATTTCGGGGAAAGAGATTTGGGCTAAAACTAATGGGCTTGGTTTAATACTAATATTTTATTTTTTTGGGCCCTTCAAAAAACCGGGCCCTGTGCGGTTGGACTGGGCAGACAGGCACAGGGCCGGCCCTGGCAATCTGGACCGAGTCATCTGGATCTTCAGAATTTTGTAGCTTCAGTGCAGCTTCTCCCAGATGGTCTTCTATGATTCTGAGTGTACCATCGCAATACTTGTGAATTTCATTCAAGAGCAGGACTCGCTTGATGCCTTTGTAATCTCTGTAGATCAGTCCTATCTCTGGTTGTGTGACGATGGTGCCTTCTTCAAAATTTTCAATCCAGGGAGCTCTATTCCTCGGTGCAGTCATGTTCACTTTCGGAAAATTGTTTTCTATGGCCATTTGCAGACCGAAGAGAGAATAGTATTTGACTTGTCTCATTATAAATCTCTTAAGTGCGTTAAGGCTTAGATCTTTGTCCTTTTGAGAAAGTTCCTTGAAGTTGACAAATCTGTACTCGTAGAATAATTGAATCAAATCAGTAGAAACCAAGTAGTACAGGTCAGCTTCATATGCTCTTTGGATCATGCCGTTTTGTCGTTCTAACTCATAGATTGGATAGAATGTATCTTTTCCAATATGGTGTATCTCTATGGCTCTAATTGATATGATCATTGAATCCGAATGCATGACTAATCTCTTCCGGTGTCCATAAGGATCATTCTGATCAGCAGACATGTTCTGTAGCATCCAAATGTGTCCAGAAGCAGCAGTTTATGTTTGTCCCTGTTTATAAGATTTACAGCAATAAAGATTTATATATCAAAGATAGAGAAGCAGAAAGATATACGCTAAGATTCTTAAACTCGTCTTTGATATATCGTGAACTTTACAAACACAAGGATGAGCTCTGAGGCTGATAAGATCGATATGCAAAGTTAACGCAAACCTAAACCTAAAGCGCCTTTTTATATGCGCAGGTTTGGGTTTGCGTAAAGGCTTTCAGCCTGATATGGGCCTGACACATTTGCCCCATATCTTTTATACCCTAATAAATTCACACATTAAATACAAAGGATATAATAAAAGCTAATCTATTACAAAACATATGACAAACTTGATTCACAATAAAATGATCTTCAACAATCTCCCCCTTTGTGATCAAGTGTCGTTTGCTTTTATCTCTGAACTCTGAAGTAATGCTTTCTTATGTTCAGTGCATGCTCATACTGTCTCAGAGCTCTTCTCTTGTCAAGTTGTTTGATGATGGGCTGCAGGATTGTTTCCAGGCTGTCAAACTTTTCTAGCTCCTCATCAGTTGCATCAGCAAGTCTTCTTTCAAGATCTTCTTTGAGAGGCAACAACTTTTGTTGGATGACTTTTAAAGTCCCATCACAGTATTTGTGTATGTCTTCTACCCACATCAGGCGCTTTTGCTCTTTATGGTTAAGATATAGAATTGAGAGCGGATCCTTAAAAATGTGGTAGGGTTCATATTTCTCAATCTCTTCTCCATAGAGAATTGGCTTGGTGAGATTTGCCTTCCGAACATTGTTCTCGAGTGCCATTTGTAGATCATGGGCGGAGTGGAATCTGATTTGTCTTAGCATAAATCGCTTGATCGCCTCAAACCCTTCACTGTAGACTCTGTTTCGATTCAGTGGAAGAAATCTGCATACCATGAACATCTGATAGATGTCATCCATTTTCATCATAATAAAATCGTTCTCCTGGAAAAAAAATATGCTTGAGTCAGTGCGCTGGACTTTGTAGCTATAGAAAGGCACAATTTGGTGATCTTCTTTGTGAATATCGAGAATGTCGCTGATCGGATGAATGCTAGACCTCATGTTTTGTTCAAGAAGCTCTCGCTGTTTGCCTGATGACCTGTGATGCAGCATGTGCAGATGTCCGCCTACAAATTTTCTTTTGAGGTGTGTGAGGCCACGGATCTTCAGTTCATTTAGTTGCTTAAGTTTGTCTGGTTTTCTCCAGATTCCCTTTCTGATTTCCTCTTGAAAGGGGCATTGATTCTTAGGTTCTCCCAAGGCTTTGCTGTTGTTGGCATTTGACCTGCTGATTGTCGAATAAGCGATTCAAGTTCCTTGGGAGTTTTCTCGTAGTCTTCCCCTTTCTTGAGCTCCTCTTCATCAAGGCGTATTATGTCTTCAGCACACTTTGCAAGCAATTCACGAAGCCACCAGTTCCGTTGCATGTCCTCACCTTCAGCTTCACACTTAAGTTCATCCCACTCAGTCCATTTCTTTGGCCATTTGTCATGTATTACCGCATCCTCTAGCGCGTCATGCATGTCTTGATTTGGAGGAATGTATGGGGCTCTTGGCTGCTGTCGGAGCGGTGAAGTTGCTTGAGAGGCACTGCCGGGTTCACTCGGATTGCCCGTTGTCATCGGCGTTGAACTGAGTTCTGACCGATGGCCTGACTTAGTGGATGTATCGAAGATAGCAACGTCAGGACTTCCATCCCCTCCTCGGACAGTATCTCTTGGAGATAAGCCTCGGGATGTTTCAGCTAGCTCGACCGTGTTAGTTAGATTGGCTTGGTTGTGGCTTGAAGTGGGTGGCTGTTGGTTGGTTGGGGATGGAGGTGATTGTTGAGTTGGTTGCGGGATGTGGCTGGAAGAGGCACCTTTCTCAAGTGTCCGGGGCCGCTTGTTCTCCCCCTCATGAGGTTCCGAATCGTCGGAGTCCTCATGGGAACGTTTGTGGCCCCGGGGACTGTCACGGAAAGTGCTCGGCGGTGGGTGGTTATGTTTGAGGAAGACCGCCATCAGGTCCTTTTCAAAGGGGGTAAGGGTACAGGTTTCAGAGGAGCAAAGGCGGAGGAAAAGGATATCGGCTAGTTCGGGTCTAGGCATGGAGTAAGGATTGGGATAAGGTGTGGTCGATGCAGGGGTAGATACTGGCTGTGTATCTTGGGTTCCCTGAGTGGGTGAAGATGTCGGTAGTTGGTGGGTGGATTTGGTAGAGAAAGCATGGGAAGGTAATGGTTGGGTATGAG